CCAGCCCGGCCGAGTTCAGATCTCACTGCCAAGAAGGCTGCTGGATAAACAAGGCAGAATTCAGAGATCCCGGGGCACCAACAAAAAGGTTACCAACAAAAACTCTGACAGACTGGACCTGGCCCAGGGGCTAGCATCCAGTATTCTGAACAGAAGAAGGGGGATGCCAAGTGACACCCCAGAGTTGAAAAGAACTTCATGCCTACAGTCCACCCTCCTCTGGATTCATCCCTCGAGCCCAAAGGAAACAAGCAAAGGCTGTGTTCCCAGAGGGCAGTCAGCAAGCAGTGGGGTGGCAGGCGGTATTCACGGCTCGCCCATCTCACCCAGAGTCACCGCACTTCCCGGGCTTTGTAAGGAGGGCTGGACACAGGTGTGACCCTGCATGCCTTCCTGCCAAGCCCAAGCACAGTCCCGTGGCTGGCTGGGAACAGGTGTGTGTCAGTGTAAACATCAGCTGGGCTTTACTTTTTAATTATGTAACTTTAAATTATACAGGTAGCAGATGAACATGTTCTCCTCTTAAAAAAAAAAAAACTAAAAGAAAACATCACAGATCATACTAAAATCTCCCTTTACTCCCTTCTACCATCCCAAAGTCCTCTGCCTTCCCTGGAGGAAACCACTGCTAGGTGGGCATCCTTCTAGACATTTACACACAGATATAAACACAGCAGAGAAATTACTCAATTTTTTTTTTGTGAGGGTGTATCAATTCTCATGTATGTGGCACCATGCTGTTTATACTATTTTGCATCTTTCAATCAAATATATATCTTAGGAATTCATCCTTGTGGTTGTATATGCATTGAGCTCACAGAATAGTGGGAAAATACCCCCAGTAATAGACCTTTATGTTGTTTCCAACACTTTGCTGATACAACAGTCTCTCATAAGCATTTCCGCATGAAGTTTTTCATGCATACTATTTCTCTAGGGAGCTGCCTACGAGGCAAATTGCTGGGCCATAGGCTTTTGCTTTTTTTGTCTCAATAGATAGTGCCAAATTGTCTTCCAAAGAAGCTGTGCCAATGTACATTCCCACCTCAAAATAGCAATGTATGAAGATATTTATTTCCCTATGTTGATGCCAAATGTATAATCAAACATCTTAATTTCTTCTCTGTTTGATGTGTCTTTTTCCTACTTACCAGTGAGGTTAAATACTCATATATTGGTCATCTACATTTTCTCTCTTGTAATTGCCTATTCATATCCTTTATGCTGATTCTTCTATGAGATTGTCCTTCAATGCTTTGGTGGAGTTCCTTGTACATTGATAATTTCTTAATTCTTACATACAGTGGGTAAGAGGTTTCAGGTCATATATTTAAGCCATGACAAGTCCTTTGGCGATGGCACAAAGGGGCCTGGAACAAGGTTTCCCAAAATGATTCTCATGCCTCCTAAAGCGTGAAAACAATTGTATTAGCAGATGAACTGCCTGCGATGGTGAGGAGAAAGTTGACACACTAAGGAACCACTCTCCAAGTCTGGCCATAAACCGTGGTTTCCACAAGCTCAAAATGATACAGGAAGTGATTTCCACTTTGGGCCAAAGCAGAATAACTGGTGCCAGACTAGTTCTCTTACCATAAACAATTATTAAAATGGGTCGAATATATGATGCAACTATTTTCTGGCAATAGACAAGAGGGAGCACAAGACTGCAATATCTGAGAAAAGAGAGGCTCACAAGGTAAGCCCGGTGATCACCCAACTCTGCCCGTGACCATTTCCTGACCCCGGGGCAAGGAGCTGGAGCTCGAGCAGAGCACAGTGGACCCACTGAGTTGTGGAGGCAGAGACCAGAGTCAGGGGCTACTGAAGTAGCTGGAATCGGCACCGCTGGGTACCAGAAGAGGGCACTGCATTGGAAGTGAGGCAAAGTGCTTGCCTGGGATTCCCCGTGAGTCCAGAACCATGGGCTGGGCTCTGTATGTTCAAGGCAAGACTACACAAATGTTGCTGAGCAGTGCTGAGAGTTGCTGAAGTTCCAGCCTGGCCAGGGTGGAAAGATCTCTATAACACCCCAGGCACCCAGCTAAGACACCAGAAAGGCCATAGCTTAGGAGTAAAAACCATGCCCTTGAGTAAGGCCTATTCTGTTCCCACCAAAACAAAGCCTAACACCAAACTTCAATAGGATTGGCAGAGGATAAAGAGCTTAGAGGTTAAGTGCAACTAAGTTAAAGGAGTTTGGGAAACATCTTAGGCTTTCCACAGACCTGTCCTAACAAAGTATAAAACCAAGCCTACACCTATTCAAGGTGATGAGTCAGCAATTTAGCTACCTACAGGGAAAAAAAATCAATACTTTTCACACAAAGAACAGAATCTTGAGTGGTTACCATGTATCATCCACAATGTCCAGTACACAATAAAAAACTAGTAGATGTGCAAAGAAACAGGAAAATGTGATCCATAGTTAAGAAAAAAGCAGGCAATAGAAACTAGCCAAGATGAATCTAATGTTGGAAATAGCAGATAACCACTTTAGAGTAGCTATTATAAATAAATATGTTCAAAGACTTAAAAAAAATATGCATATACATATGTGTGTGTGTATGTATATGTATATAAATGACTAAATAGTCTTAAAAGACAAGCAAATGACCAGAACCAGACCAGAATATGACAGTGGAAATTATCAGACAAGAAATTTAAAATAACTACAATTAATATGTTAAAGAGTTAAAGGCGAGACAACATGCAAAACTAGAAAGTTATTACACTAGAGACATGGAAACTATAATAATCAAATGGAAAAGCTAGAAATTAAAAAACAGTAAGAGAGATGCAGAATGCGTCCAGTGGGCTCATTGGTATACTCATTACAATAAGGAAAGAACTCGAAGACACATCAATAGAAACCACCCATACTGAATCAAAAGAAGTAAGAGTTAAAAAACAAAAATAGAATAGAGCATCCAAGAGTTATGGGATACTATTAAATGGTTTAACACAATCATAATCAGAATCTCAGAAGAAAAGAGACAGGGCAAAAGAAATATTCAAAGAAATCATGGCCAAGAATTTTTCAAAATTCTTGACAGACACCAAAGCCAATCCAAATCCAAAGAAACTCAGGGAACATCAAGTGGATAAATACCAGAAAAATACTTACAGTCCTATTCAAACTGCTGAAAACAAAAGACAAAGAGACAATCTTAAAGGCAGTCAAAAAAAAAGAAACATTTGTAGAGAGGAACAAAGGTAAGAATTACTAAACTTCTCATCAGAAACCATGGAAGCGGCTGGGCACCGTGGCTCAACGTCTGTAATCCTAGCACTCTGGGAGGCGGATGCGGGCGAGGCTCGAGGTCAGGAGTTCGAAACCAGCCTGAGCAAGAGAGAGACCCCGTCTCTACTATAAATAGAAATTAATTGGCCAACTAAAAATATATAGAAAAAAATTAGCCGGGCATGGTGGTGCATGCCTGTAGTCCCAGCTACTCAGGAAGCTGAGGCAGCAGGATTGCTTGAGCCCAGGAGATTGAGGTTGCTGTGAGCTAGGCTGACGCCACGGCACTCACTCTAGTCTGGGCAACAAAGCGACACTCTGTCTCAAAAAAAAATTTTTTTTCTAACTTGCATGTGCCCCCCAAAAAAGAAAACAAATTTTTCAGTTTAAAAAAATGAATATAGACTCAGATTATTTTAAAATGTACATTGTAAACATGAGGGCAACCATTCAAATTTTTAAAAAGAGATATAAACAATAGGAAAATAAATAAATGTTCAATTTATTGTAAATGTTCAATTAACTCATCTTATCATGAGAAAAACATGAGATGAATTCCAATAGTGGAACATTCTACAAAATACCTAACCGTACCCCTTGAAACTGTCAAGATCATCAAAAACAAGGACAATCAAAGAAACTGGCACAACCAAGAGGAGCCTAAGGAGACAGAATGACTAAATGTGACACAGTATCTTGAATGAGATCGTGGAACAGAAAAGAGGACATTAGGTAAAAAAGAAGGCAATCTGAACAAACTATGGACTTTAGTTAATAATCTATATCATTATTGGTTCATTAATGGTACGAATATACCACAGATGTTAATAGTAGCAGAAACTTAAGTTTGGTCTCTATGGGAACTCTCTGTAGTATCTTCTCAATTTTTCCCTAAATCTAAAACTGTTCTAAAAAATAGTCTACTTGAAAATGCTCAATAAAATCTGAGGGCAGAAAAAGAGGAATAAACAAGCACACATGGAAGAAATGAAAACAATTAGCAAGATGGTAGATTTAAGTCCAATCATATCAATGATCACTTTAAATGTGAATAACCAAAGGACAATAGTTGAAAGTCAGAGCATGACCCAACAATATGCTTTCAACCACAAAGTCACTTTAAATATAAAGATATAGGTAATGTAAAAGTAAAAAGGTCAAGAAAGATATACCATACCCACATGAACAAAAAGGAAGCTGGGGTAGTTGTATTAACTTCAGACACAACAGACTGAGAACAATGAATGTTCTCAGCGGTAAAGACAGATATTACATGATGACAAAGGAGGCAAATCTCCTTTGTTCAATGCATTGCATATAGTTAAATAATTTGGTCAGTTCATTACAGAAGTTAGAGTCATACCTTTTCATTAAAACATAAAGTAGCTAAATGATGTATATATGAGTTTTAAAAGTGGTATGCTTCATTAGTCTATAGTTATGAGGAAAAGCCCATCTTCCAAATTTACTAGAGATGAAAAAAGGATTAAGAAGGTGAGTTCAGGCCCGGTAAGGTGGATCACACCTGTAATCCTAACTCTGAGAGGCCGAAGCGAGTGGATTGCTCAAGGTCAGGAGTTTGAATCCAGCCTGAGCAAGAGCAAGACCCCATCTCTAATAAAAATAGAAAGAAATTAATTGGCCAACTAAAAATATATAGAAAAAATTAGCCGGGCATGGTGGCACATGCCTATAGTCCTAGCTACTCGGGAGGTTGAGGCAGAAGGATTGCTTGAGGCCAGGAGTTTGAGGTTGCTGTGAGTTAGGTTGATGCCATGGCACTGTAGCCTGGGCAACAGTAAGACTCTGTCTCAAAAAAAAGAAGGTAAGTTCAAAGTGTGTTACAGGTTCTGCACTGTATCCACATTCTGCAAAGAAGAAAACGGGGTGCTCTGAGGTTCCGGAGCTTTAGTAACTTGCCTACTTCCCACTCGTCCAGCCACACCAGTAGTTTCCAAATTGTGCTCCCCAGAAGCACTTGAGGGTAACTGTGGTGGTGGGCAGTGGGGCAGGGGACAGAGGACCAGATCCACCTGGGACCACAGTGGGCAGGTGGCTCCAGGCTTTTTATGTGTTGGATTCTATAAAAGATTTCATTTGGGAAAGGGGTACTAATGGTTAAAAATAAGTCACTGCATTGACCAAAATGCCTCTTTATGCATATTTAGAAAAGTTTAAATATTTTTTTTAAAGTACAATCATCATCTAAAACACAGGTTTTTAAAACTTCAGCAGTAAAGAAAGAAATACATAGTTGGTTTCTTTCATGTTATCTCATATATTAATAGTTAACTAGCAGAGGAAAAGGAAGTGAAACTCAGGCCTCCTGCTTTCTGGTGCAATCGTCCATCCAGGCTGCCCACGTGGACCCATCAACAAGCAGCGTGGACCTGCCATACAAACGCATTCACTGTATACGGGCTCCAGGCGGGACTAGCATGGCTCACGTTCAACCCTGTCTAATTAGAAATCTTCTTTTCAATTGAATGTTGCAAGATACAGAGATATAATCATACTCACAAGAAGACCTGAAACATCAGAATACTTCTTGGCTGGTTTAAAAGATGGAGGAGCATCAATACTAAAGTCTGGGGAGCAAAAAGAGAAAAACAAAAATATAACTAAACTGGCCTTAAAACATTCAAGTCCTTTTTCTTTTTCCCTAAAATCATGCTTGATAATATTCATGAAATTTTCCTTTGAGATTAAAGTACTCACAGACTTCTCTGGGGATTAACCAGAGACACAGGGGAGGAGTCTTAGAAATAATGCAGTAATATGTCATAGACCAAGTGCAGGCTCCAGATCTAGCCCTGCCCTGTCACCAGGGACCCCATATTCTTACACGGCCACCGGAAAGATCATCTGCCCACAAGCTATTTTCACAGTCTCATGCTACATGGGCTGATGGTGATGAAACCCATTAGATCTGCGTATCCAGACACTGCCATGTCCACACCCAGACGACTGACTAGCTCACTTGTCACCCAGCTGAGTCACCCCCATCTGAGTCACCCCCATGAAAGTACAGTGGGACAAGGGACTGAGGGAGCTTTCAACCTGTACTTTCCAGCGAAGTTGAACAGAACATACAACAGTGTTTTCTGTAAATTTGAACAGAGCACAGCATAAAGTATTTACTCTGCAAAACACTGGCTCAGAAAATAAAAGAGTTGGCTTTTAAGCTTGCTCTTAGGAACCTTCCTAAATCTGGCATTATACTTGGGCTACCTTGTTCTTGGAAACAAATTTTAAAAGTAGATTTTCAAATAAGATGTTTGTCTAATAAAAACACCAATATTATCCTATCAGGAGCTATTTCCCCAGTCTGAAAGTTAACAATGACACTTAAAACCACACATCCAAGATAACAGAAACAAACAGGTTCAATACAGATACAGTTATGAGAAAACAGACACATAATATCCCCAGATTGTTGCCACTATAAAATTCTCAAGCTAAACATTGTTTCCTATAAGAATGCAAACACAATAAAATAATGTAGGTTTGTTGTAAGAAAGTTCCTACTCTGAACACTATAAACACATGAAAGGCTCTAGACAGCTCACAGTTAGGATCGTTCAGTTGCCACGGCAATGCCCTTTCGGAAGCGAGAATTTGTTTCAGGTTCTTCCAGGTTCTGTTCTTCTTGCCAGCTACCGCACCACCGTGGCCAGAGTGCTTGAATTAAAACATGGATTAGAAGAAACAAAAATCAATGGAGACTGCCATTTCAGAATCTGACATTTATGCTTAATCACAAGTGTAATGTACCTCATTCTGTCAGCAATCATTTGTACCCTTGAGACATTTTTAAAAAGTATTTCACTGTACATGTTAATCCTAGTTAAAACAAAACAAAGATTTTGGACTGTCAAAACCCTGGAGTGAGTTAGTGTTGGAGTAGAAATAAAAAGCTACTTTTTTACACACACATAAAAACCAAATCCTTTATTGTGTCTAACTTTGTAGAATTCACTCACGAATTTCTCATCACTTTGAAATAAGCAAATTTACTACACAGTCAGATTTAAACTCATGACTGCATCCCTAAACCCCCTTCTGAGGGTAAGTTTCTGCCTTGCAAATTACTGATGATCTAGGGAAAGTCGAGTAAGCCCCAGACATGGCATGGCAAGCCTTCTGGAAATTTTGGTTTTTCTCTTTTTTCCCCCATGAAGATGACAAAAGAAAAGGGGAAAGAATACCAAAATCTGTCACAGACACTGTAATGCTGTATTCCCAAAACTGATTCATTAAAAATATACTTTTAATGCTATAATCTGAATTGCTATAATTTGCTATATCCCTCAAGAATGAAAGGAAGAATATCCCATTTCCATGTGCTGGATCTAAGCACAGCAACTTAAGTTCACTTAAACTAATGAGGAAGCATTCTTCTTTTAGTTAAACATGGCAAGCCTCACATGAAACTTATGCAAGACCAGAGAAAAGGCAAAGGGAACAATCATCATGGAAATGACCCCACCCTCAAGAGAGTACCCTTTAGTGAAGCCCACAAAGGGCACCAAATCCTTGAGGGCTGGCACATGGTGAGATCAGCAGAAAAGACCCTTCTCCAGCCCCATCCCTCCCACGACAGCCCACGGGAACAAGGTGGCAACTTGGACCAAGGGGGAACATGCCAGTGCCACTTTGGCCACAGGCCCAGCAAGATCAGAATGCAAGGTGTGGCTGTGTGGCTTTTTATTTATCTAATATCTTAGATGCTTACCACAAAGTTGGGATCCTTAAATGGCAAAGGTTTGGCAGCTTTTTCCACAGGTCCGGTGCTAAAGTCAGAGGCTACCATTTTATTCTCACTCATGGCATCTATGCCGATACCCTTAAAACGTAAAAAGAACAGTGTGAAGTTAGTTCCTTCTAGCTGAGTTCCTCTCCTCTGCTCTCCACAGACATAAGATGCTATTTGCTATTGCAAATAAATACATTTACTAAAGAATGAATGAATACAGCTAGTAATAGATTATAACCCATAGAATAAAATAAGAACCCATGATAGGAATACTGATTTTTAAAAATGAATAAATGTCCTATAGTCCCAGCTACTTGGGAGGCTGAGGTGGGAGGATTGCTTAAGCCCAAGAGTTCGAAGCTACAATGTACTATCATGGCACCTGTGAATAGCTAATGCACTCCAGCCTGGGCAACATAGCGAGACCCCATCTCTGCAAAATAAAATAAAAATAGAAATTTTTTTAAATGAATAAATGAATGGGAAAGAAGAGAAAGTTCTTCCTCACAGTAGGATTCTAATTAATAAATGTAGAAGGAATGAAGATTTGAATTAGAAAAATCACTCTTTGGCAACCATCACAGGAATAACTATTTCAGACAAAAGGCATCAATGGCCATTACAAGTGGTAGGCAAGAGTATGAAGGCAAATGGGATATTTACATAGTCTCAAAGTATCTCCCCACAAGATGCTTCAGTACAAACAGAGAAAGAATAGCTTTACCATGGAGAAACCTGGCAGACACCACCTTATAAAGTGCCCAAAGCTCACACCACCCATGACAGGCTACACTGCCACTGTGTGCCACAATGGGATGCCTTGAGGAGAAGACAGCATCACTTCCCAATCCTGCCAAAAATGTATAACCCAGATCTTGAGGAAATGTCAGAGGGGCTCAAAATTGAGGAACATTCTATAAAATAAATGGCTAGTACTCTTCAACAGTATCAAGGTCATGAAAGAGAAAGACAGAAGAACTGTGCCAAATTATAGGAAACTAAAACAATGTGACAATTAAATACAAAGTGTGACCCTGGGTTGGGACCTGGACCAGATAAGATCTGTATATAAAGTGTCGGTGTTGCATCAAAGTTCATTCCCTGATTTGATAAAATTCGGAATGGTCTCTCTGCAAGCACCTTCCCAGACTGCTCTCCAGGCCTCTGCACGTGGACCTGGGCTGCCTCTCCTCTGTTCACAACCCCCCTCAACCTCCCCCATGCACCCTCTTTCCCAACAGTTGTAGGTAAGAGAATGCCTTTGGTTTTAGCAAATTCACACTGAAATATTTAGAGGATTGAAAAAATAATAATAATACAGTGCTCTCCCCTGGGGCACACCCAGCTGTTAAGACAGCAAATGAGCCTGAGGCTGTGATTTTGTTCAAGAGGAGGTGGTGCATGGGGTGAAGGAGAAAGCCCAGGCCTACTGGCTGGAGGGAACATAAGGTGAGCTGGTCCCAGGACAGCCATCAGCGTTAGAAGACGGAAGGAGGCCATTCTCTCAAGGAATCTAACAACAGTTCATGGGGCTGCGTCACAAGGCTACTCCTGCCCGGGGACTGTCAGGAGGCTGGGCCTACAGAGTGGCCTAAATTAAATAAGAGAGAGGGAGAGAGAGATAAACAACACTAAGAACTACCCAGCTGGCAGCACATCAAAAGAGAAAAACCAACACGGCTGGGAACAACTCAAGAGTCTAGTCCAGAGAAAACAGGCAGAATATGAAAGAGATTTCCTGGGGCCAGATATGCTTTAAGTTTCTACTTTATTGTCTGAGTTTTTCATAAAGAATATGACTACTGATACAATACTGTTTCCACCTGGGAGAAAAAAAAAAAACTAAACTGCTAAAGAAGCAGAGAAGATTTTACTACAGGGAAAGGCTAAAGCCAGCCCCGAGGCCTCTGCCAACGATGACAGAACATCCACAGACCTGCCCAACTCCCAGGGCCCCGTCCCCCCGGCAGCAGAGTTAGCTTTTTCTTCCACTCCAGAAATGCTCAAAGACCGTATTTCTTCCTTTCTATTTATTCCTCTTCACTGACTCCCAGTGGGGAAGCTCAAAGATGCTGTGTGCCCTTTGAAAGGAAAGGAATACAGCGATTCTTTTGACATTGCCTTTTAGTTCCAAGGCCCCAGGGAGATCCGCGAGGACACTGGCAGACACAGGCGCCTCAATGAGGTTGGCACAGGTGGAGTGTCCCCAGAGGCCACTCAGGAAAACAGGTACCTCGGCAAGTCAGCGGGGGTTGGACAGTCAAGTTCTGCCAGGGAGAAAGGCCGTGGGACCAGCGCATCTGCTGAGAGCAAGGGGAGGGTGGTCTGAAGAGAGTCAAAAGTCTGCAGGCAGCCAGCTAGAGAAGAGTCGAGAAGAGAATGAAAGGGATGAGCTAAAGCAATGATTTTCAAAACAGACCCCTCCTGCTGGCTTCTTTCTCCATCTTCTGCTCTTCCCTTGTCAGCAGGGCCAAGGGAAGACCTCTTAACCCCTGAGAGGTCAAGCAGAAGAGGGCCAAAGACAGGAAGCCACTTTGACATGAGCTGAGCCACCCCCAATTCCAGAGCTGCCTCCTGCCTCTGGAATGGTGGAGGGCTCCCTTCCCTCACTAGCCAGACACTGCCACCTAGACCAGAACTGCTTTTCTGCTTTTCTTTCCTGTCCCCCTCCTTCTTCCCTTCCCCTGGCATCAGCCCAGCTGAGACCCCTGTGTCTACCAATGACAGGATGAGAAGGAGATTTTCCCTTTATTCAGTCAAAGGGAAAATCAACTCTGTAAGGCGCAGATGCAATAAAATAAAATGTAAAATGATGTATAGTTTCCATATTCCTATTAACACCAAGACACTGAACTGTCCCACCCCGAGAAATGAACACCCTTAAGGAGAAGAGAGAAGAAAATGCCTAGCTCAGGGCTTTCCCCTCCTTGCAGGACTAAAACAGCTGATTTAAGTCCCAGAGAACAGAAACCCAACCTGCTACTAACGAAGCACATGTCTGTCACTAACAGACCGGAGTCAGCAAGGCCTGGGGTCCCAGCCATTCTGCCCAACTGTGACACCCAAATAAACGGCTTCATTTCTCTAGGCAGCAGGCTGCTCGACAATGACTCAGACCTAAGGATAATTTGGGCATTCTGTCTGTGGTTAAAAAGAAAGGAGAAAAATGTCCTTTGTCTTATCCCCCAAAAATCAAATGCCAAGCTATATCTATCTAAATAATATTCTAGACTCAAATAGCTGACTGTAGTCAAAACTGCAGAGTTACTATAGGGTTACTCAAAACAGCAAAAATGCAAGATGCAACCTAAATATTCAATAAAATCAACCTAAATATTCAATAAAATACATTAATTAGAACACTTTCTTCCTTGGAACATAATATAGTCAATTAGTTATGAAAGTCTATTAGACTTTTTAAAGTCTAATGAGAAGATTATCAACAGAAAAATGTTCACAAAATAATGCTAAGTAAAAAATAGGGTACACAATGTTATACACCAAATACGATTATGAAAAATTATATCTACATCTAAAAAAACACAAATTATAGTAGTTATTGGGGAAGGAGACTGAGTGACTTTTTATGTCCACTTTAAATATGGAAAAAAGTAACTTTAAAAATAGAAAAGAATAACTTTTAAGACTTAAGATTAACATAATTTTTTTTTAACAGAAGTTGCAGTAGAATGATTATTTTCTTGAATGAATAAACCAAAGGAGTCCAGCATCCTCTGGTTGTCTCCAATTATAGAAGATTCCATCCTCATCTGCACTCTGCATTATCCTTCTAGAGAGACAACTACTGCTTCTCAACTTTAGATGTTTTATTAACTGCTTATTAACCATCACAAATCAAAAGTCTATCAAGTAACTCTCAGTCTCAGGTTAATTTGGTTTCTCAGTAAATTTTAACAACTTTAACTGGCATTTGAAAAGTCTAAATTGCCCTACATTGATCCAGTAAAATTCCCTCAAAAAGCATTTCTCTGTACCATGAATTTGGTTGTATCACTGATCTAATTGGTACATTTTCCAATGCAGAAATTGATGGAGTGATATCAAGAAAGGCGGTTAGGGAAAAAGAATGTAGACTCTGGACAGCCTACCTGGCTTTGAATGCTGCCTCTACTACTTATTAGCTGTGTGACCTCGGGCCAGTTACTTAACCTCTCTCTGCCTTCAGTTTTTTAATCTGTAAAATGAGAATAACAACTCACAGAGCATTGTCTGGAGGATTAAATGAGACAGTACTTAGAAAGTGCTTAGAACAGTGCCTGCACATATAGTAAATGCTCAATAAATATTAATTTATTAATAATTCATTGTTATTTCTTTTACTTTAGCATAGTTATCTACTTTCCAACCCACCAACTCAACATTAATCCTTTCAAAGTAACACAACCAGAATGAATGGAGGACTGCACTTTCATGACATTATTAATCAACACTTACAGCAGTTACACCGGAAATATAAATCAACACACAGAATTATAATTCTAAGACAATCTGTGCAATTTAGCATGCATAAACACTTAACAGTAATTTCTGCTGAACTAAAGATCCATCTTGATGGAATAATAAAATGAAATTGTTTTTGTACTTTTAAACTATTTAATAGTATTTCCTAAGACTGATGTAAAGGAGACTTCCAGGCCAGGCACAGTGACTTATGTCTATAATCCCAGCACTTAGGGGGGCTAAGGCAGGAGGATTGCTTGAGGCCAGGAGTTTGAGACCAGCCTGGGCAACACAGTGAGACCCCATCTCTAAAAAAAAAAAAAAAAAAAATTATCCAGGCGTGATGGTGTGCACCTGTGGTCCCAGATACTCAGGAGGCTGAGGCGGGAGGATGACTTGAGCCCAGGAGTTTGAGGTTACTGTGAGCTATGATTGTGCTACTGTACTCCAACCTGGGCAACAGAGAGAACCTGTCTCAAAAAAAAAAAAAAAGAAAAAAGAAAAAGAGACTTCTATAAATACTTTCCTCAGAATACTTTTAGATCAAAAATATTCCCTTCAACTCCTAAGGAATTCTAAACATAAATTTCTAAGCATCCTTAAATTTCAACTATGCACTCAATATTACTTTAGAAACAGCATGCATATTTCTGGAAAGTAAAACTCACCTTAAGAAACCATTATATCAGTTATTTTCAACAATCTTGAAGAGTACTCTAATGTCCTATAAAAAAGCCCTTTGTAAATTTTAAATCTCCATGAAAGTTTTACATGCTTTGCTTTTCTTTAAGAAACAATATAGCTGAAATTATGAAAGTAGGGAAACAGGTGGTGAAAGATCTATAAAATCTCTTCTAACTCAAGAGAGACAATCATTTGTAGAAAAACACTTAACATCCCCACTGATGAAACCTTGGGAAATCTGAGTTAATCTTATACATTTACAGCACTGAGCTGGGATGCTTCCCCATATAAACCCTCAAACTCAACCTCAAGTCCTTCTGCCTCCCCACCTCTCCTTTGACTACCATCACCACACTGAGTACTCATCTCCCTGCCACAATAGGGCACAAACATGAGACAATACCTATAATTAGCTTTGGTTCAATGTTAGAAATTACTATGTCTTCTTGATTGTTTCATATGTGTGATAGATAGAATTCCCCCCCCCCCAAAGTTTCCCACCTCTGGTGTACACACATCTTCTCCCAGTTATTCAAGCCAACACTAATCTAGGCACAGCTATGAAGGGGTTTGCAGATGTAATTAAAGTCTCAAATCAACTGACCTTAAACACAGGCAATTATCCAGCTAGGCCTGCCCTAATCACATAGCCCTTTTTTTTTTTAGAGATGGAGTCTTGCTCTGTTGCCCAGGCTGGAATGCAGTGGTGCAATCATAGCTCACAGTTAACTGTCACCAAAAGCTCAAGGCACTTATCCCCTGAGGCCGCACCAGAAAAACAAGAACAAGTGGTTTGAGGAGAAGGAAAGAGAAGTTTATTACTTTGCTGGCAAAGGAGGAGGATGGAGACTCTTGTCTGAAATGCCATTGTCCTAATAATAATAAGCAGAAATGCAGAGCTTTTAAAGGCTGGGTTCTCAGCTTCAGGCAATTGCTGTTCAACTACAGTTGGTGATTCTGATCATCCCATCTCTGCTGAAGACAATCCCGGGACCCCCACCCAGGATCTCCCTCTACCTGTCTGGGCTGAGCCACCACCTGTAGCACAAAGAACAAAAGACTTACCCTGCCCCTCCCAACCACTGGCCTGAGGCAGGGATGTAGGTTTCAGGTCTCCAGGAGTGGAAGATGTTTTAAAGAGACAGAAAATATTTTTGCTGTTTTTTCAGGCCATTCCCTCTGTTATATATACCCCACTGTGAATATTTCCCTTCCATATTTATGGGAGAAGGGGTGACTACTCTGTTATATAACCACAAATTTGGGGCTCAAGTGATCTTCCTGCCTCAGCCTCCTGAGTAAGCTAGAGGCATAGTAGGACTATAGATGCATGCCACCACATCTGGCTAATTTTATCTTTTTGTAGAGATGGGGGTCCCACTATTTTGCCCAGGCTGGTCTCGAACTCCCAGAAATCCTCTCACCTTGGCCTCCCAAAGTGCTGAGATGGCTGGCCACATAAACTCTTTAAAATCTAAGTCCAGAAGTCAGCAATAAGAGAAGTCTGAGATATTTGAAGCATGAGAAGGACTGGACACAAGGGATATTCTCCACAGCCAGCTTTGAAGATGGACAAGGCCATGTGGCAAGGGACATGTGCAGGGTCTGGCAGCCAGCTAGCAGACAGAGACCCGCAGGCCTACTGCCCCAGAAGAACAGAATTCTACCAACAACCTGAATGAGCCTGAAACTCAAATTTCTCCCCAGAGTTTTCAGCCCAGCCAGTACACTGATTTCAGCTTTGTGGTATCCTGAGCAGAGTACCAGTCATCTTATGCTGGGATTTCTGACCTACAGAATCATGAACTAATAAATGGGTGTTATTTCAGCCACTAAATTTGTGGTAATTTGTAATGGCAGCAGTAGAAAACTAATACAATGTATGTAGGTCGTTCTCTCCTCCTGGGAGAGTTTTGGTAGGATGGGGACAAGCTATAATCCTTTGAAATGTCTTAAGTATATTGCTGGGGACATGACAGAAACACAATACAATAAATTCTTGCTGATTGAACTGAACTGAAACAGGGAAAGCTGAGCAAGGGACACAGATGAGGGTCACCTCAGGAAGATTCCAGGCAGCCCACAGGGCAGTACTGTGCTAATGCATGCATTTGCTGTGTAACAGGGAACCAGGGTGGCAGGACTAGAGCAATACGAAAAACCTAAGACTCCTTCCTGGAGACAGAAGCCAAGTTTTTTACTTCCTCATAAGGGTGGAAATGGGGTGACTGGCTATTACACATCATTAGCTAAACACCAGCTGGTTTAAAGACAAGAAGAGAAAAGACAAAAGAATTCATTATTTCAGGAAATGGCCTATTCTTCCAGCCTCTCCAGAGGCTGCAGCTCAGATAAAGAAGACCTCAAGAGAGCGTCTAACCTTCCCCTCAGCAAGAGCTCTGAGGCCATCAGAGTCGTGACTGCCACCATATTGATTAGGAATTTCCAGCCTGTTGAAGGCCTCTGGCTACTCTCTGAAGCTTGTTGTAGGGGGATTTGATCAATGTTACCTTTGGGGTCAAAACAGAGGTCCCTCCCAATATGTATGGGCTACATTCTTTGGTCCTGAAACAACTGGATATCAAAACATACCATTTGCATACTGGGAGAATGTACTCAAATGTATTTATCTGGCAAAGGACTCCAATCAAGAATAAGAAAGAACTCCTACACATGAATAATTTTAAAAAGCTCTATTAGAAAAAATAATCAAGCACTTCACAAAAGATTTTGGATTGGTCAATAAGCATACAAAAAAGTGATTGATATCATTAACCATCCAAAAAACAAATTAAAACAATGAGATACTACTACACACTCAACGGAATGGCTAAAATTTAAAAAGACTGACAATGCTATGTATTGTTGAGGATATAGAGCAACTAGAACTCTCATACTTTGCTGGTGAGAATGCAAAAACAGTACCACCAATTTGAGAAATACTGTTTAATAGTTTAATACTGAGTTAAATGTGTGCCTACCTCTGACCCAGCAATTCCACTACTACCCAAGAGAAATGAAAGCATATATCCACTACTTACAAGAATAAGAATGTTTGCATAAGAATGTACACATAAGAATGTTCAGAGCAGCTTACGCATAAAGCCAAAATCTATAAACAACTCAAATGTCCATCAGGTATGGTATGTTTATACAATGCATCAGATATACTGAAAGAATGACTCTCAAAACATTGTTTTTAAAAGGGACCCAGACAGACACAAAAGAGCATGTTCTGTATGATAACTTACATTATGTTTGAAACCAGACAAAGTCAATCTATTGTGAGAGATGGCAGAACAGTAGTTACCTCTGTCAGGGAGGTAAGAGAGTGCTGACAAGAAAGGATCACCAGGGAATTTTCTGGACTCTTAGAAATGTTCTATCTGGGTGATGGCCATATGTGTATACATATGTTACTCTTAATATATGTGCATTGTCCTGTATGTAATTGAGTACTGCAGTACTCAATAAAGTACTACAAAGGAAAAAAAACTCGCAATTACCTATTGAAGGACAGGTAGTTAACATTTCTAGAACAGCTGCTGGCTAGGTGAATGATACCACACCATATGCACAATGTAACAAAGTAACACAAAGTGTGCACAAAGTAACACACTCCATCTACGCTCTTTTATTGCTTTGAATAAAATACAGGAGCCAGAGAAAACGCTAATCTAATCAATTCACTCTGCTTAAAATCTTTTGCAGGAATTGTGGAGCCTCGATTACAGATGCCCTGACGCCTGAGCCAAGCGCTGACCTCAGTGCTTTACAAACATTATTTCATATACCTTTAACAACCCCATGAGGTAAGACCAAACCCACTTTATTGATTTATTTTATTTTCTGTAGAGACAGGGTCTCACTCTGTTGCCCAGGCTGGTCTAGAACTCCTGGCTGCAGACAACCCTCCCAAAGTGGTGGGATTACCGGTGTGAGCCACTACATCTGGCCCAAACCCACTTTAGGATGGGGAAACCGAGGGTCAAAGAAGCACTTTGCTCAGGATGAGAGAAGTCATACGAATCAACGCATCTTTGTGTGCATCCACGTAGGACATTAGGGCGCCACGCACGTCTAAGACACTTGGTAAATGTCTGCAGGATGGAAGAGGGGGGACAGGCTCACTTATGAATGACACTCAGAAACGTCCTGGGCGTCGCCCTAAACGCGATTTCGATGGGAAGAGGCGACCCTTCTACTAAGTTCCCCACCTTCTTTTCTCTCTCCTCCCCATAAAAGCCGGGAAATTCTTTAACCAAAGTCCCGTGTCCAAGGTAAGGAAAAAAACTACTCATTTACACCATGTGCCATCACGTAGCTAGGCACCAGAGCCCGCAAGCCCCACTCTCGTCCCCGCGCACGCGCCCTCGCTTGGCTCCGCCCCACCCGGCCCCGCGCACGCGCTCTCGCTCGGCTCCGGCTCCGCCCCCGCCCCGCCCCGTCCGCTCCGCGCACGCGCTGGGGCACACTAGGAACGCGATGGCGTACCTGTGCAAAGCTAGAGGCGGACGTTTTTTTCTTCTTACTGGCGCTATAGCCGCCGCCACTGCTGCCGTTGTGGGAAGGACTAGCCGGCCTCTTCTTGCTGTTCCGGACTATCCCGGGAGTGGAAGTGGTGGCCACGATGGGGATTTGAGCCGCCATCCCACCCGTAGTCTTTCTCCGGTTCCCCCCCACCTCTTTCCCAGGGCGGGCCCTGGAACTTCCGGCTCGCTGTTACTTCCGTCTTGGCGCTTGAAAACCCGGCCTGGACTCGCCACGCTCTCGCTGACTTCTCTTGGTGGCATCTAAAAGGCGGAGGTCGGAGTATCCTATTCCGTCTGGGAGGGAAGGTGTCAGCTGGGCGGCGTCTTGATACTTACGCGCTCGGAACCTGGCCCCGGGGCACGCGCTTGGAAATGCCCAGTGGTAGAGGAATAGAACACCTCCCGATCATTTTAAGTAACTACGTTTTTTATAATTTATAATCATGCTGTCTTTTCTCACATTAAAGCAGAAGGTTGATCATTTTTGATGTCTGTAAGAGGAACAGCCGGGTATTTCTCAGTGGACTAGACAGCCGGCCAAGCTTTACTCTTGGTCGCTGCCTTCCCACGCGGAAGAAGTTTATATATAAATAGTAATTGCCACCATTATCCACCAGTTGTTCAGACAAAAAACCTGGAGTCGTCCTTCACTTCTCCCCTTTATCATAACCCTGTTCCAGCCACCATCATCTCTCTCCTGGAACTTGCACGTTGTCTGTGAGTTGTCTCCGTGCTTTCACCTTTGGTCCTCCAGCCCAATCACTACAAATGATTTGCGATGATCTCTTTGAGGATACAAATGTGCATTTGGAGGATCCTATCCCCTTCTCGAAACCCTTCAGTGGCTTCCCATGGTTCCAGAGGTCTTCAGAGACCTGCCATCTCTCCAGCCTTGCCTGTGCTCCTGATCCCTGCATTCTTGCTCAGTTTTCACTTGTATTAGTTCCAACAACCAGCTGAGCCCCTCTTCCCTCGAGGGAAGCTGCTTTTCTCCCAATATCACCCTACTCCGGTCTCACTGACTTCCACACAGCCTTCTTATCTTGGCTGACACTGACATGCTGTTTTCAGTGTTCCCTATCCCTCTGGTGTGGTTCCATGTTGCCATAAGCTTCGGTCATCAATACCTATTGATTGCCTTTTTGGTTTTGGGGGTATCTTTAGAGAGAGGAACTCACTATGTTGTCCAGGTTAGACTCAAACTCCTGGGCTCGAGATCTTCCTGCCTCCACCTCTGACTAGCTGGTACTACAGGCAGCAGTTGCTGTACCCTGGCATATTCATTGCCTTTTATATGGACAAACAAAACAGAATAGTCCCTGCTCTCAGTGAGCCCCCAATCTGGTTGGGAAGGAAAGACATTATATTTGTCTTCTCAGCTAGACATAAGCTTCCTGTGAGCAGTTGCCAGAGTCATCAGGGATTACGTGGCAAAGCATCAACAAATGATAGCAACAAAGAGAGTGAGAGAAATGCTGGAGGTCATCCACTGAAGAGAGCAAAAGCTTTGGGCTAAGGAGGAACCTGCTCCACACCCATCTCGGCAGCACCAGTCATTGCCCAGTGTTGGCACATGTGGGGCCTCCATACACTTTGCTGCATATGTAACTCGGGTTTACATATCCATTGGCAAAGATAAATTAACACTGATGACCTATATTCTGCTAGCATATGTGTTGAGACAGGGTCTAACCCTCCCCTAAATCCCCTCCCCAGTTAGTCCTGAGAACTTGCAGGGTGTGTCTCACCTCTGCTATCATGTGAGCCCTCTCAGGCACTTCCTCTTCAGCATCCTTGCTGGCATCTGCAGCTCCTGTGTGCCTTGCCAATGCCACACTTCCTTTGACAAAGGCTGCTAGGGCTTCCCCTGGAATGCTAATCCCCTCACTGGGGTGTACCAGTTAACCAACCTCAGCCAGAGTTTTTTTTTTTTTTTCTTGAGACAGAGTCTTGCTTTGTTGCTCAGGCTAGAGTGAGTGCTGTGGCGTCAGCCTAGCTCACAGCAACCTCAAACTCCTGGGCTCAAGCGATCCTCCTGCCTCAGCCTCCCGAGTAGCTGGGACTACAGGCATGTGCCACCATGCCCGGCTAATTTTTTCTATATATTTTTAGTTGGCCAATTAATTTCTTTCTATTTATAGTAGAGACGGGGGTCTCACTCTTTCTCAGGCTGGTTTCCAACTCCTGACCTTGAGCAATCCGCCCGCCTCGGCCTCATAGAGTGCTAGGATTACAGGCGTGAGCCATCGCGCCCGGCTCAGCCAGAGTCTTGATCCCAGTTAAAACTTAATGACCAAGAACAAATAATGTGCTTGCTAAGTAAGCTACCATTTGAGACACAGCTATCATTTGAGACACAGAGTGCCTAGTTTATTGTCTCTCGAAAATCTCAGGAAAACACAGTGGATATTTGGGATCATGCTGCCACTGAATGGAAGATGACACACTGCTCATCTTCTCTGATACCTCCTGTGAAATATGCCAGTCATGTTCACTATAAGAAAAATGGCCATTCCAGGTTTTATAGGACTTCTTGATGACAGAGAAATATAGAAACTGCTACAGTCAAAACCCTCAAAATCTCCAACTCAGATGTGCATTGCAACTTCTGAGCTATGGGGCTGTGCAAACCCACTGCAATGAGGAGCTGATGGAGATCCTCAGAGACCAGGCACAGTCTTCTCGAGAGTGTGAGAACATCACTCATTCTTGGGATACCATCTCTATAGAACCTTCTGGAAGTAGCCTGTTTGCTTCATCCCAGTCCAAAGTATATCATGTGGTAAATCCCTGTGGGTCATAAGCTCATTTGGGCAGAAACAGTTTCTTCTTCATCACTGCTTTCAGAGCATTGCAAACCCTAAGTGACAATCTGCTGAGAGCCTCATTATTTAAACAATTAATCAGTATCTACAAGAAGAGAGCTCGGGCCAGTGGGGGCTGGGGAGGGGCCTTTGCTCCCTTAGTTGCTTGCTTATTTCTCGCCTGACAGATGCATGGAAATATTTAAAGGCTGGAGAGAAAGAGTGATTGAAAATAGGCCTGACCCTGCCATTTGCAGGATCCAGGGCAAGAATACAAGCGGAGGCCTACCTACCATATGCCTTGATATTTAAATGTGCAAATCAAGCTAATAAAATGTAAAATAAAATATGTTCTACCCTCCTAGCTTGGCAAATGTACCTTCATAGGTCAGGGCCAGAGTTGGATTTAGAATGTTCAGATTTCTTGGAGTTCTGCTCAGAATGTGGTAGCGTGGAGAGAGCCGTCCCAGCCCTGAGCCCCCACTTGCCACCTTGCTCCTCAGGACATCAAAAGGGGACATGTGTGCACATATGTGGAAACCCCAACCCACACATCCAAGCTTCATCCATCTTGTCCTCCACCCTCATAAACTGCCTCCGTTGACCACCTCTCAGGCCTTTGGGTATACACATCGAACCCAAGGGTGAGGTCTACGGAGACCCTGCCAGAGGGGCATAGGGCCATTGAGCAGGAGATTCTGGGGTCCCCAGTACCCAGAGAACATTGTAAAAGCGGGGAGCATGGACCTGAGTGGGCATGTTTCCCTGTCCCGGCAAACTCCTCGCTCGGTGCAGAAGGGCAGAGCCAGAAGAGGGCCCTCTTGCCCCGGCTGGAGAGTCACCTGTAGCCTGAGTAGGAAGACACCAGATGAGGAGCACCAGTGAGGGATAGGGAGCTCAAGCCTCCCTGACAGCTGGAATGGGACAGGGAAAGCCAGGTCCTGGAAGAGACGCAGTTGAAGTGGCAGGAAGCCAATATGATTTCCGTCTTTAGCCTGGGTTTCCTCTCATGGGGGAGGTAACATCACCTGCTAGACGGAGGAGAGTGGTAGAGTTTTGGGAAGGGTCCTAGGAAGATTTGGAAAAGCCACTCTTCAAAGGTACCATGAGAGAGAGGCCTGAGAAGGGACCTGTGAGAAGTTTCCTGGCAGTGCCCAATGGCACATGAGCTCAGGCAGGCTGGGCACAGCTCAAGTCCAGAAGCACCCTTTAATGCCCGCGACCACACTGTGAATGGCGACCCTCAAGTCGGACATCGTGCTCCTTGCATAGACATACTTGGTACACAAAGGCCCATGCAATCTCTCTAAATTTTGCCCTCAACAGGTAATATTGCTTTGCAAAGTCTGAATGAGAGAAAATAGATTTAAGGGCCATTTTGCTTACTGGGATTACTTCTTAAATCCATGCCTGCTAAGTAAACAGCAATTTAGCATTACAAATATGGCCCAAAAAGGCTGACACAGGACTTCCAAAATAGTGGGGTACTTACCTTTCATTGAGAGAGGCAGGATCATGCTCCCAGGATGGTATTTTCCTGGCTTTTGTTACCCAGCTCTGGGAACCCCCCTCTGGGCACTGGCCCTTCCCTCTCTGCTAACAGAGGCCCCACCCATTACTTAAAATGAATTATTATTTTAACACTCACTCTTTGTGCATACCATAGAGAAAGAAAACAATTATAATTACTATAATCTTCCCATCTCTGAGATTCTCTCCTTATTTTGCTCTCCTAAAACCATAAATTTGCTAATCCCCGGGCTGTGACAACACCTGCCTTCTGAAACTGTCAGCCTGCTTTGATTTTTGCCCCTTGTATCATGCCTCCTAACTCTGCTGCTGTCTTGCTTGTTTTTGTTTGTTTTTATTCACATGTGACACTTTGTTTCTGTCAGCCATGCTTGCACAGTGAGCTATCAAGCCAAAAAGCTTTAGGGACCATTGGGTGTGGAATAAAACAAGAGATGACAGGGTGGCTCAGAGATGCTCATTTTCTAAGCTCATGAAGAAATCCCCGAAAGACTCAGAGAAACTGAGGCTTCCTCCATAGTATCCCTTACTCCTCCCTCATGAAACATTGCTGCTCTTGCTCTGAAGTAGGTGAGCCAAACAATCCAACTCCTAGAGTGTGACCTGGCCTTGGGGACAGCAGAGGGCATGGCTGAGGGAAGGAGACCCATTCTGGGCTGAGGACAGGTGTGAGGCAGGGCTGTCCGCAGTCCTCTTCCTCAGCATGGCACTGGAGAGAACCCAGAGGATAACGGGACAAAGAGGTCCCCATCCCCCACCTTTTCCAAAGAAGATGGCCATTGCTTGGAAGAGCAAGAAATGAAACATCCTCATAGTTTTTTAGAAAATCATTCATTCTATACAAACTCAAACTGCTTAAAAGGCCCTATGACCTAGCCCTTTATGTCTGCTTTTTAACCTCTCGCACTGGGGCTCCTGAATGGTGAGTGGGTTCTGCCCCAGTCCAGCTGTCCTGCTCCCCATCCCAGTTCACCCCCAGCCTGGCTCAGCCCTGCCTCAGCTCTTTGGATCCCTGTCCCTGGACTTGCATGTGTGGCGGCTTCTGCCTTTTGTGGTACTTGGTACCTCACATTCACTTTTTTTTTTGAGACAGAGTCTCACTCTGTCACCCGGGCTAGAGTGCCATGGCGTCAGCCTAGCTCACAGCAACCTCCAACTCCTGGGCTCAGGCAATCCTCCTGCCTCAGCCTCCCAAGTAACTGGGACTACAGGTATGCGTCACCATGCCTGGCTCATTTTATATATATATATTTTTTAATTAATTAATTAATTAATTTCTAATTTTAGTAGAGATGGGGGTCTTCCTCTTGCTCAGGCTGGTTTTGAACTCCTGACCTCGAGCGATCCTCCCGCCTCAGCCTCCCAGAGTGTTAGGATTACAGGCGTGAGCCACGGCGCCCGGCCTCACATTCACTTTTGTGACTCCCTGACGCTGTTGAGAAGCTCTTTCTGAAAGGTTCTAGTTGGTTCCCCACCTACTCACACTAAGGATCTGAACTCTTTGTAAAGACTGGGGATTGTCAGTGTGAACTGAGGTCCATTTTTATACTCTGTTCCAATACAAGGAAGCATGAGCAGGCGGATAAGGCATTTTTCTTTATGCTGAATGGTGCTAGTATACAGTTTGAGTTATTGCCTTCTGATTTTCTTTCTATATTTAAAGGATTGCTTTCATACATCTCCCATAGCACATCCATATACATAACAGATTTTCTGTTTTTAATATGCTGTGGACTGAAATGACAAACCACCACAGGTGTTAGAAATGTGTTTAAAATAATCACAGATGCCCATGAATGAGACCCTGGTGGGGACAGGGTGAGTGTTCAGAAACTAGAGGCATGTGCTTCAGTGTGTGGACTCCGGGGGATTTAGTTTGGCTGATTAATGGCTTTTTTTTTTTTTTTTTTGGTAAGTCTTGTAACCTTTTTTGGCTTCAATGTTCTTATCTCCCAAGTGAGCTAGCCAATTTTGTCTACCTGAGTTATCAGATTTTTTAAAGAAACATTTTATTAAAGCATAACTCTTATACAAAAAGTACACAAATTGTAAGGCATTTTTAAAAAGTAAACACACTTGATAATTCAGCTTAAGAAGCAGAACATTCTCAACACCTTAAAGTCCTGGCTTCATCCCATTGCCAATCCCAAAGGCTATCATACCCCAAAGCTAACACTTTCCTGGCTTCTACTACCAGGGATTAGCTCTGAACATCATAGATATGTAATCATATACATACTGTATGTATGTTTGTGTGTTTGTCTTTGGTGAGACTCATTTTTGTAGCATGCAGCAGTACTTCATTGTCACTGCTGTACAGTTTTCCATTGTGGGAACATACTGCATCGTTCTACTTGACATTGAGGTTGTTTCCAGGATCTTTTGGCTTTTTTGAATTAAGCTGATTGGAGCATTGTGCATACATATCTTTTGGTGTGCACATCTCTGTTGGGTTGTACTAAGAATGGAAGGGCTCGATAACAGAGAACGGTTTAGTAAATACTCCCAAACAGTCTTGATAATTTACCTTCCCACCAGCAGCAAATGAGAGTCCCAATTATT